AGTGGGTGAGTGACCAGTGTGTGGGTGGGGGTGAGTGGGCAAGTGGGCAAGTGGGTGAGGCCTGTACTTGCCAGTTAACCCTCAGAAAATGGGGGCGAGAGAGAGAGAGCATACAGACTCCATGATATACAGCAGCATACGCCGAGCTCCCACTGCCAAGCAATGATGCAGCACTTGGAGAAAAAGGGCGAAACAGCCTGTGCAATTTCATCCATCTGCCGGTTCAACCCAGATGATCGCATCCTAGATTGGCAGTTTATGTGTTTGCAGAGGTACTTGTATCCTTTGCTCAGCTAGGGTTAACCTGCTGATAATGACTGTGCAAGCAAAGAATTCGTCTGTATAGAGACCTGTCTCTTATACACATCTAGATGTGTATAAGAGACAGGATCAAGGAAGGTAAAAAAACCGAAAAATCCGAAAAAAAACTGTGTTATGCAGAAAAATAAATCGAACAACTTTCGCCTCAGGGTCAAATCGAAATTCTTTACTGGATTAAAAATAAAGCGGTAACGCTGCGATAGCGCGCCGCCACTACGGCTGTCTCTTATACACATCTAGATGTGTATAAGAGACAGGGGAACGCGTGCGAGGACCAGGGAAGGTCAAAAAAAAAAAAAAAAAAAAAAAAAAAACCGAAAAATCCGAAAAAAAACTGTGTTATGCAGAAAAATAAATCGAACAAATTTCGCCTCAGGGTCAAATCGAAATTCTTTACTGGATTAAAAATAAAATATAAAATATAAAAATATAATTTAAATATTTTTATTTTTATTTTTATTTTTTTATTCTTTCGGCCCGGCCGGGCAAGTGACCCCGGGCCACTCTGGTAGCCTAGATAGCCACCCATTTTGCCAGCTCTCCCAAAAGATCCCGCAAACTCTCCATAAATGCTCAGATGACTGCAACCGTAGCCTCTAGCACAGGACAGATGGGTAGCCAAGATAAATGTGTGAGTGGGTGGGTGGGCGGGTGCGTGAGTGGGTGAGTGGGCGGGTTAACCACTTCTCGACCATAAAATTGAATGTTTGGAGTCCATCAAGGCTGACTCTCAAATTCGCTTTACGATAGACAAACAGGGCCATGCATTTTTAACATAACAATTTGTATAAAGTCCGTCGATATCGGATGCCAACCAAAGGCAGGCACGAAGTGCAGCATGTCTGATCTAAACTTACATTATTTTTTGTCAAACGCCAGGTGGGCAGGTGGGCAGGTGGGCGGGTGGGCGGGTGGGTGGGTGGGTGGGTTGGTGAGTTGGTGAGTTGGTGAGTTGGTGAGTTGGTGACTGGGTGAGTTGGTGACTGGCCAACTGGCCGGTGAGTGGGTGAGGGGGAGTAGGTAAGTGAATGAGTGCACCGGTGGGTAGGTGGGTGAGCGGGTGGGTGAGTGGGTGAGTGGGTGAGTGGGTGAGTGGGTGAGTGGGTGAGTGGGTAAGTGAATGATTGCACGAGTGGGTGGGTGGGTGAGAGGGTG